AGCATCTTAGCTGTAGAGGGCAGTGTCACTGGCCCTCATATGTGGGATCCTAACCGGGGCCCTCTGGCGTCCCAAGCCAGTTCTTAACCATCGCCCCACTTGGCTGGCCCAAAGTCACTATCTTTTAAAAAGCAAGTTCAGTTGGTTTCTGTTTATTGTGAAACCTGGTACATTTAGGCTTATTTTTTCAACTTATTTAATGTGTTATTATTTTTCTATTTCTTATTTCATTGAAACTTTCTTAGTATTTTTCTCCCTTTCTATTAGATGGGAATAAATATAAGTGATAATCTTCAAATTTTTGGCAAAATTTAAAGTTAATCAGTATTTCTATTCTCAAGAACTATAAAAAAAGTCCTAGATTTTATCTGGATTTTAAGCTGTGTAGATGCTGACAGAAGATACAAGACACCATGATCAGAGACAAAGGGCTTTTTACGGCAGTACAGCAGTTAAACCAAGCTTCATGTTCAGGTTGATTTTCCTTAATCCCCAAGTTTCAAAGAGGTAGCACAGAAGGAAGCCAAGGTGAACGTTATACACAGAAGGAGACCCAGGTGAATGTTTAGGTCACAGCTAAAAAATCTCAAGTTTAGGAAATCCTAATCATTTAAATATGTTGTAAGGAAATCTGCCGACCTTAGCCCCAGAGGAGATTTTACTTTATCATCCTGGACAACAAACTCTGCTCCATCCAGAGAGAAACACCATCTATATCTTCCAAGGTCATGTGTTGCTAAAACATCATTGAAAAGATAGTATAAAACAAAAGCCTCTGCTAACAAGCTACACAGAAATGCCAGGGACCCATGGAGAATTGCCTACCAATAATATCTACTTCTTGTTTCTATACTATATTAGTTTCTGGTGAATTTTCTCATGAGTACACTTTATCGACCATTCTAATTATTCTGACCAACAAAGGATGGTACCAAATTTAATTATTTTGTCTGAAATAGCATTTAATTAAAGCCATTATCAACAGGGATCCAAGTAGCAGGATGAACCCAGCCTATCCTAGTGATCCTCAGGGTTCCTCAACTATGATACAAACCCATTGCATGTACAGTACAGACCTGGGCCCGCCTCCTCATTACCCCAGTGACACGTTAGGTAAAAGGGGAACTATTGAAAGCATGACTCTCATGCTGTCTGCTCTCTTCGTAGTTCTTGACAGTGAAGTCCTTGACAGTCCCTTTACTAATCAAGATATTACCTTATAATGTTATAAACAATGCTAAGTTGTTTTTCAGTAAATGAAAGAGTTTTCTTACTGCCCCATCAGGAAAATTTAATACAAATTTAAACAACATTCAGGTCTCCTGATGAAAAAAAAACAAACAAAACATGAAATAGAAAAATGGAAAAGTTTTGTTCAAAAACTGGTTAATATTATCACATGTGTTTTGTTCTAAATGAAATCTATATTAACAAAAAATAAGACTTTAAGAGACATGAAGACGGTTATGTCAGCTAAATTTAATGAGAGAGAACAAGTATCATTTTGGAAATCAGAGGTGGATGGTGAAAGGAAGCTGGGATTGAGGCTGGTAAGATTCTCAAGTGATATAAGATGACAAGGGGATACTTTAAAGAATGATGTAATTTAGATAGGTAGCTTATGTACAGCCATTACCATCAATAGTGTATTGACTGCAACCAATTTAACAAACAACATTTTGAAATGCTAAGTTAAGGAAATCATCCATGCTTATATTTATCAAGTACTTTGAAAATATTGAGGAAATAAAATTCTAGTATACAAATAAAAAATGGAGATATAGTATCATTAATTATTCTGGAAACAAAGCAAAAGTAGACTAGTCATTTGACAAGAAAATGTTAGACGTGAATGATGCTATTTTATGCACAGTCTATGCTAAGGAAACAACTGTTAAAAAATTATATATATATATATATATTATCTTTACCTGAAGTTGGTGGAATCATATATCCTGCATGCCCCTGACTCACCAGATTTCAAAGTTGCCCAATGTAAACATGTAGAGTCTATTAAAGCACCAAAATATATAGGTGCAGGAATTCCAGCTACAATAAAAGGAAGAAAGAAAAATCCATCAGCAAGATAAAAATTAAGATATATTCTTTTGTTTGGAAACATTTAAATTTTCTCTATTTGCAAAACAAATGAAGTTGAATAAAAAATAAACCTAATCCTTTAAATTTTATTTTTAGAAATTAGAAATTATTTTTAGAAAAGTTTCTAGATTATAAAGGATAGGTAATCTGATAGATGAATGCAATGTAATATTATTAATAGAAGAAAACATTGAGTTAATGGTTCTTTATATTTTTTTCTGTAATGTTTTAGGTCAATCATGTGTACATTTTATTGTGACATATAATTTCCTGTTCATTTGCTTTTCAAATCTAATAGATGAAAAATAAAATTAAGAGCCGATAGGACTTTTTCAAGTAAAAGAAGGAAGTTCTCCATTTCTTCTTGTATTTCATTCTCCTACTAATGGCAAAGTGCTGTTCTGTTACTTTGAGAGAGTGATTTTATTTACTTAGTATTTAATAATGGTCTAATATAATGTTGGGAAAAAATAACTATTTTTACCAAATACTCTTGTGGAAAATGCATGTAATCCCACACCAAGGGACTTCTCTTCAGGTTTGATACACCTAAAAAAAAATAAACGAATTAATAAATAAAATAAAAATAAAGATTTAAAAACTACCACATACAAGGCCGGCCGAGTGGCTCAGTTAAGAGCTCACTCAAGAGTGCTAGCTCTGAGCAACAGGACTGTTGGTTCAATTCCCAGCCTGAGCTGAGCTGCCAACAGGTGGCAGAATGGCTCAGCTAAAATAAATAAATAAATGAATGAATGAATAAATAAATAAATAAATAAATAAAATTAAAATTAAACTACCACATACATACAATGGAATATTACTCATCAATAAAAAAGAATGAAATCTTGCCATTTATGACAACATGGATGGACCTAAGGGCCATTATGCTAAATGAAATAAGTTAGACAGAGAAAGACAAATACTGTATGTTTTCACATATATGTGGAATCTAAATGAATAAAGAAAACAAAACAGAAATAGACCCATGGATAAAGAGAACAAGCTGAAGGTTGCCAAAGGGGAGGGGCTGTGGAAATGGGTGAAATTTTAAAAGAATAAAGAAATGTTTAAAACTAAAGCAATTTTTTGAAAACAAATTAAAATAAAATGAAAAGTACTATAGTTTTTTCAAAAGGACCATCTGTGTGCTAGTAACACATTGAGCATTAGAAAATGTTCTTTCATGCTCAGGTCTTTACTCAAGGCCTGATGGTCGAGTTTGCAGCCTACACACGAGCCTCACTTCTAGTTCCTGGCATTTCACCCAACACTTTTTGCTCATTCATTTCTATCAGAAAGTTATTAAAGAAGAAACTATTTCATGTCAATTAATTTCTATCCTTTCGTTGAAGTAGTAGTTCCTGATTCTAATGGTTCAACCTTTAACCTAAAATAAGAACAATGCCACCCTGGCTATATTTGTTATTTGTAGTAACAAAATACAGAAATGCCAAGAATTTATACAAGTAAAAGTAAGCAAGAAATAAAGCAATAATAATAATTTTCAAAGGAAAGTGATGAAAAATCCAAAGCAAACACACTTTAAATGATGTGGTATAATTTCAAGAGTCATACTGATTCCTTTATTCTTTCCAAAAATTCTACTTCTTCACTGTTGCCTGAAATGCCTATGAGGAGACATGAAGACTATAATTCCCCAGGGGTACTTTTCATGCCCCACTCACTTCAGCATCAACTTTGCTACCTGCTCCAAGAATTCACGTTGAGAGTCCCCCTGTATCCCATCCCTTTTCCTGATTAGCTCAAAGCTGAAAATTAAAAGCAGCTTCCTTACAAAAGGCTGTGATACATTTTTAGCAAAAACATCATCTTATTGGTATCTTCTTGATTACAAATACTTTACTGGGTCTTAATGACTCTTCCGACTCGTAGATTGAAACACAGTTGATCTAGATATTATGTATCTAACACATAGGTTATTTACGTTGATTTTACTAAAAAAGAAGAAAAGCCAGGAGACTTAGCATAACCCTCTTGGTCCTATGGCTTCCATTTAATACAGAAAATAGGGCATTTAAATTTTACTGAAGAATTTTTTTTTCTCTATCTCTAATATCCCACTTTATGATCTCACAGAAGCATGAAACCTTAAACTGTAAGCAGTTTAAACTGTTCTCCAAACACTATAATTAATTGGCTTTGATAATAATAATTTCTAGTAATAGAATGCAGTAATCAGAAGGGAAAATGAAAATGCAAATTATGGAAAAATGCTGATAGAAATTCAAATAGTTCTTTAAAACTACCAGAGCAGCATAGATATTACTGCTTAACCACCCCTCAACCATCATGGTGGGAAATCCATAGGGAACCCACAAAAATAGAGAAAAGAATAAGTATATTCATAAAATTCCAGGTGTTAAGCTGTATAATATAATCTGGGCAAGAAATGAAGGAATAGAGTAGAGACATGAAGAGAGATGAGAGCATGATTAAGCACTTGTATTATTAGGGAGTAGATATTAATATCAAAAAGTTTTGAAATTGATAGCAAAATAGAAACATAGTTAAGAATATCAATAATCAGGTTAACTGTTTGAAATGAACAATATAGTTTTCAAAGTAGAAGAAAATCCAATATATGCAGTGAAAAGAAAAAAAAACAAAAAGAGAAAGTCAAATAAATAAAATAAATGAAATAAATGGCAAAAAGAGGCCTATCACAATAATTACAATAAATATAAGTGGGTTAACCTCACCAAGCTCAGATTTCAAAATCACATTTAACAAAGTGTCTATGAAGTGAAATGGAACACTGAAGATTAAAAACAAAGGGAAGGAAAAAGATATAACAGGCAACAGTGAACCAAAAGAAACCTAGACCTGCAGTTTTAGTAAGAAACAAATTAGAATTCCCTTAAAGAAATGATGAAACGATAACGAAGAAAATTATGTGCTGGTAATAACAATAGTATACTGATCAAAAGCACATCTGCATCCTTCAATATACCTTCAAAATATATAAATTTTTTAAAAAGTCACATAATTATACATAGAGAGACAGAAATTTTTAGATATTTTAACACACATCTCTGAAAAACTGATGGATTAATCAGATGAAAAAAAGTATAGATTTACAAAAGTTATATAATGCAATGATTTACTTCAATCCAAGAGATATATGGAAACTGCATACCCAAAATACAGAAGTTACACATTCTTTCCAGAAACACATGAAACAGTAAAAAATCAACCATACACTAGACCCCAAAGAAAACCTCAACATTTCCCCTAACAGCTTTCAGATTATGCTGTCTGAACATAAAAATGAAATAATAATAAGACACCTATAGAAAGTTCCCATATATATGGAAGTTATACGACACAATAATAATTAATAAACTAATTTTGATTTATGGGTGCCTATGGTGAGAGGAAGTGGGGAATGGAATGAAGAAATAAAAATAAAGGAAGACAAAACAAGAGAGAAACCTTACTCCAATTATGATGATAATGTACTATGGAACTGAGAATTATGATCAACTCTGATCCTGAGTTCCAATGAAAGATTTTTAAAAAGAGAGAAAGAAATGTAAAGTTTCTTTACTAGGCATGATTAGAATTGTTTACTAGGTATGAAAAATGCTGTAATCTAAAGAACACATCTACGGTATATGAAAGTTTGAATTACCTCTGCAGTTTCCAACTTTTAGTAAGCCCTTCATCATTTGTGTCTCACAATAGCCTGATAGGAGAGATGAGCATTTAGTATTATGCCCATTTTTATTCAACAAAAATGGAGCTCAGAAAGGTAAAGTGCCCTGCCTAATGCCCTATAGCTAGTAATAAGTGAGACGGGGGCTTCTGACAGCTTCACACTCCACTGTCCTATAGGCTGGACCATAGGATATGACTGCTAGGCAACCACGCTTTACTTATCAAAATAACCTTTTCATATGGTTTACCCTAAAATACAAATATGTCTCTTTTTGTGTTAAACAATGAGAGTTTCACTAATTTAACTCTAAGAAATAAGGAAGGAAAGATACAAAGGGAAATGCCAACAGATGAACATTTATATCGCTAACTCTAAGATTTTGTAAATGTCAACAATGCTTACTGTGAAACTCTTAATACAGGATATATTACAACACTGAATTCTTAGATACCATGGGCTCCAAGTGACATTCTCAAAAAGTTACTTTAAGAAATGACCAGAAAGGAATCTAAATAAAGAAAATAATTGGCGTACCTCAGGAGAACCATAAATCCAGGTATGGCAGATAAAGAATAAATGAAACTGCAGATCGTCGACAAGATTAAAAAGTACTGGAGCATCATGGAACAGTCACGTCCTCTGCCACACAGCCCAAGAACTGCAGATGAATTTCCTGACGTTTGAATACAGCTACAATTTTGGAACACCTGTCAAAAAGTAATACATTATCCTATTTAAGGAAGAAAAACTTTCAACAAAAATCTCAAATATTTTCTACATAGCCAATTGAATCCAACTAGACACTGTTTATTCTCCTTATTCTCATCTCCTTTATGGTATTACTCAAGAACAAAACAAAAAAATGTAGGAGGGTGGTTTCAGAAAAACAGTGCCTCTCTCTAAATATATGGAGTAAATCTGCAATAGCTCAGCTATCCTGAAGTCATGCTTTTTAAAAATACATACTGTTTTGACACAATATTAAGTATGGCAAAATTTATTTCAAAATGCTCAGTTGAAATATTTACTCATAGATACTTAAACAAAGCTTTGCTTCAAAACATATAGTTTATTGCAAAAACAGTAAACTCTTTTTGAATTATTGTATGTTTCCAGGCATTAACAAGAACCAAAATTTATGTTACTTTGATCACCAACCAACATTACAAGTATTGTGACATTTTTTAGGCAAGAAAACATGCCTAATTTCATTTTCTTATAAAGCTTCCAGACTGTGAAAAA